TTTTTTTTAAATTAAAGTGCAAGCCAGCCGGCAAGACACTAGAAATGGCGCGGAAAGACGTCACGCTAACAACGAAGCAGCCGGGCACTCTAAAGCCGATCCTCGTGCTCCCGTCGGTTGCAAGGCAGGTTGAGGCCGACGCAACGGAGCGAACTCATGCGCGTGGGCTGAGGAATCACCAGCCGGTGATATCAACTCAGATCGATCCTCAGCGGAGCTAGGCAGCTACCACGCTGGAAACAGGAAGCAAGCCTCGCTACGGCTGTCTGCTTAGTAATTCTCTGCCTTTAGTTGTTTTTTTTAAATTGCCTGACAAAGCTGACAGAGCTCTCCCTAGACACGACCGGTCCTGATTCGACCGAGTCGAAAAACTGACAGCCACAGTCAGGAGGAGGGACTTCCTGGTTTTTTCAGCAGACCCAGTCCAATAGCGACTCAACCAGGTCTCCACCCATCCTGACTGCCGTGCCCGACTGGAAGAGAAAATCATGATAAAAAGTTTGAAAATAGAAATAATTAAACACTATGAACATAGTTATTTTAAAGTCAGACAAATTGACTTTATCCCTATTGGAATGTGTAATATAAATAAGATGAAAAACAGTATAATACCTGACTTTCCATACTTTCCCATTAACATTATCAAAGCATGAACATTTGAATACACCGGCAAAATCTACTACTGTAATGCTCTCTACATGGGGCTCCCCTTGAAAAGCACCCGGAGGCTGGTCCAGAACGTAGCCACGCAGGTGATTATGGGCGCAGCTCGTTACGCCCAGTTAACACCTTTCCCACGCGAGCTGCACTGGCTCCCGGTGGTCTTCCGGGTGCGATTCAAGGTGTTAGTTATCACCTTTAAAGTGCTCCATGGCTTAGGACCTGGGTACCTACGAGACCATCTTTTGCCACCAATAGCCTTCCACCGACCAGTTTGTTCTCACAGGAAGGGACTACTCAGGGTACCGTCAGTCAAATTATGTCGACTGGCGACTCCCAGGGGGAGGGCCTTCTCTGTGAGGGCTCCAATCCTTTGGAATGAACTGCCCCCAGAGATACGGAATATCCCTGATCTCCGTGCTTTCCGCCGTGCCCTCAAGACCCTGATGTTCCAACAGGCGGGGCTAAACATATGAACATGTGAATCATTTTTAAATGTTATCTAATTCTGGGTTTTTATTTAATTGACCAAACTAAGTAATAATTTTAATTAGCAATTTTATGATGTTTGTGTGTCTATATTTTTCTTGACTGTACACCACTTTGAGTCCTACGGGAGAAAGGCGGTATAGAAATATAATAAATAAATAAATAAAATCTACAGAGTATTTTGTATCATACAATGACCAGAATTTTTTTTTTTAAAATGTCTTTCTAAAGCATTCTATTTTTAAAATCTCTGCATACAAATATACATATTTGTAACAATACTATTTAAAAGGGGTTGGAACAATATTCAAGTTTTAGCCTGAAGAAGCAGTACAGTATTATTTGATACTTCCTTTCAGAAGTATTTCCATAATTTATTGCTATCATGGGATAGCAATAAATCAGTTAAACTGTATTTATTGAAACTTTGTATCACTGCTATTGTTATTAGCAGATGTAAATTTAACATATTGTGCACCCTTGCTTAGAGGTGTAATTCTTGTTAATTTAACTATATTCTCTTTTTAAACACCCTTTCCCATTTCAATAAAACTTTTCTGAAAATATTACCAGTTTGTTTCTTTAATATTCCCTTTTAAGGATACACTTCTTGTAGCTAACCCATCAAGCCAGTAAATCCTGTCAGAAAAGTGATTATTTTAAGATAGTGATTATTTTTAGGTAATTACACACTCAAATTACACACATGTTGTAATTGGAGAGGAGATACCAAAGACATAAGCTGTGAAGTTCATGATATATGAAACTCATATACTACCGGTTTCCCCATTTGCTTTAATTAATATCTGAAGGATTTCTAACTTCATGAATTCTGATGTAGGAAGTTAGGTGTTATTTATTTGTTTAATTTATTTATTTATTCGCTACCTGTTATGGGGCTACTCTAGACGTCTTATAAAAATAAAAAGGAGGAAATGAAAAGTGTGACCAAAAGTAAGATAATAGAATAATAAAATAAATGAAAAATAACGAGAAATATAATTATATGATTATAGGCTGCTTTGTATACAAAACAAGGGAACTTCAATAACCAATATTCAAACTACAAATCCATCTTAGTTTCTGATGGAGACAATGAGAATTACAAAGGATTTTCTAATATTATTAGTGTAGCAGGATTTTTGAACATGGACAAAGTCTACTGCTTTTCCACAGGGGATACTTTTGCTGATAATTGACCGAACAAACAGTATTTTATTTCACAAGAGAGCCTGGGTCTTCCGCATGGGAGCCCTAAAATTCTCTTATCTAATGTGAAAGCCAGGAAGATATCCAGTTCAAGGACATAGAATGAAGCAGAAGAGAGAATATATCTGCAATGATTGCTAGGAAATAAGAGAAGGTAGGTAAAACTTATTTTGGTGCTAATTACTGGCAGAACCTCTGGATTAGACAAGTAACACCAAAGGAGACTTTCTCCACATAACGGAGAGATGCTCTATAGCCTATATTCATTGTGGTATGACTGCCAGCTAGAAAGTATCTTCCCCAACTTCCCTCCTGTGAAGGGAACCAGGGGGGCAAATTGCAGTCCCCAGAATCCCCTATTCCTTCAGGACTGCAGAATTTCTTATCTTGGCTTAAAATTCCCCTCCTGCCACAGCAGTTAATTGTTATAAAGAATGCTTCAATATTTATATTTAGGCAACTAATAATGATATTGTATCCCACAAACAGTTTAAATGATAAAGCACTTTTTCTCAACCAATAGCCTGAATTAAAAAAAAAAATTCTCCAGAACTCTAAAGAATAAGTGTAGTTCACATAGAGCAGTGTTTCCCAAACTTGATCCTTTGAAGATGTATGGACTTCAACTCCCAGAATTCCTCAACCAGGCATACTGGTTGGGGAATTCTGAGAATTGAAGTCCATGCATCTTAAAATAGCCAAGTTTGGGAAACACTGACATAGAGTAAACCAATTATATATCACTATTGTTTCTTTCTTTCCCTGCTTCTTTCTTTCCAATCTGCTAATCAATTTCCCATTATTCTCAGCTACCAAAGCCTACAGAGAGTCCTCAACTTATTACCATAATTGGGACCAGAATTTCCATTGCTAAACAAGGTGTGAGTCACATCTGATTTTATGACCTTTTTTTTGCCAAGGTTGTTAAGCAAATCACTGCAATTGTTAAGTGAATCATGTGGTTGTTAAGCGCATCTGACTTCCCCATTGACTTTGCTTGTTGGAAACAGGCTGGGAAGGTTGCCAATGGGGATTACATTATCCTGGGATGCTGTTGTATAAATAGATGCTGATTGCCAAGTGCCCAAATTTTGATCACGTGACCATGAGGATGCTGTGACTGTTGTAAGTGTGAGGACTGGCCATAAGTCACTTTTTTTCAATGCCATTGTAACTTTGAACAGTCGCTAAATGATTGCTTGTAAATTGAGGATTACCTGTATACTAGATTAAATATTAATGGCAAACAAGAGAAACATATCCATTGTGTATGGAGGGAATTGGCTAAGAGACCAAAAACATATATTTTGTGGAAAAATGAAATACCCATTTGGCCTATGCTAATGTAAACAGTTAATGTGTATTAATGTGTACTCAGTATAACATGAATACTAATTATTGAAAAAAAATCAACACTTTTGTGTTTTGTTTGTGTGTGTAGAGAGAGAGAGATCATGAATATATATTTATGTGCACATATGAAAAGTAGTAATTACATTCTAGAATGGAGCTTTCAGAACTAAAAGAGTTAGCTCACTCCTCTTCCTACCCATTTCAACATACTCATACTCTTAGTCCAATATGTTTGTGCAGTGTATTTTTAGTTCTATCAGTCATTTTATCTGAAATGCCTCAAAGTTGTAGCTGACACTGTAGAAATTTAATAGAGAAAAGCTGCATATACAATGGCAGATCAGTGCTTGTATATAAACATGTTTTATTATCTCTTGCAAAACTGAATGGGTGCAGCTAACTATTTTTCTTAGAATTCCAAGTTTAGACCTAGCTAATATTTGGAGACCACAAGGAAATCTTTTCAGCTGGAGTGAGAAGTAAAAAACCAAAAGAAGACCTGAGGAAACCTATGAAAACCACTTTTATATTGTTATGAAGAAAACTGCAGGGATAGTTTTATATCACAGAATTTGTTTGATGTTTGACTTGAGTTTTTAAAGTTCGACTCTAACTAAAGCAGCCATTCTAGATTCTCAGGTATCAGTGATCAAGCTCGTTTCAATCGGAGATATTCACATTCAAATTAATTACAAGTACTTTAACATAGAACTGTTCTGTATTTAATAACGATTCTCTGTTTGTCCTTATCCCTTAAAAACATCAGCTTAAAGTCCCGCTCAAACTTCCTTACAATTTAATGGGCAAATATAGGAACTTCCACTTTGAAAGTAGACTAGATGCTTTTCATAAAGAATATTTTATTGTTTTATATGCAGGATGGAGAGATACTTTTCATGAGTATGGTAATGCTATTCTTTTAAAAACCCTTTAAAAGTAGCCCATTCAGAGTGAAAGTTTTTTTTGCTGAACAACAATAATATTTAGTTACTGTGACTGAGTGCGCATCTTATATAATATTCTTACATTAACTTAATTGCAACTCCCAGGATTAATTTCATTCTTTTTACCAGAAACTAAGTTTTTTTTATGACATTAAAAACAGAATGGAAAAAATAGCTCATCTAAGCAGGAGACCTTTTAAACTTAATACATTTCCTACCACAAAAGTATTATTTTTGTTTTATAAATTAAAAAAAACTAAACATTCAGCAAAGCTCCTTTTGCATTCTTAGTATACATTTTTTTATCAAGGCATTAACATAATTCTTTATGATTAGAATGATTACCTGGTTTCGATCACGTGCACTGGTATATCTGATCTTCTGAATGAAATAAAATATTAGCCATGCTGAAGAAATTATCATCAAAACTATAAATGATACGGATACAAAGACAAGGGAACTTCGATTAACATTTTTGCTTGGATGGCGTGTTCCCACGGCTATTGCAATTAGGACCGACATATTTTTTTCTAAGTAATTCAAGATTTCTTTAACTTTCATTTCAGTGATCATGACCGTAACAATGTCTCCAGTTCCTACAATAAACAAATAAATATACAGGAGAAACCATTTGAGTGATATGTTAATATACATTATGAATTTTTCCAACTATACATAATGCTATTAGAAACAAGAACTCTTATTAAATTTAGGATCTTTAAAACATCTATAATTAGTAACATAAGAAACTAGGAAATAACCAAAATATTCTAAATAATATTCATATATGTCACAAGTATCTCCTTACTATAATTTGATTTCATAATGATATACGGTATATCTTAACTGCTAATTATAATACCAGGAAAAGATGAAAATTAAAAAAAAATTCATCTTCTCAGTTCTAAATTCACCATTCTTTAATCCCAGCATCTTCAGGAAATAAAAATGATTAATGTCTTCCATTTCTTTCTCCAAAACATGGAGTTTACTCCAATGTAAGGCAGCACCAAAAAGAACAAATTAAATTAAAATTTGAAAATGCAAGAATTTCAAAATATTGGCTTTATGAATTTTTATGTGAATGAGACTCAGAAATTCAGGAAAACTATAAAACTGGGACAGTTAGCAGAAAAGAACTTTCATTATAGATCAAACTCTTCTTTACTGAAAAGGCTCAATGAAATAATACTTATAAATTATATACATTTATTGTAATTTATTAGTTTGTGAAGAGCCATAACAAAAATTCTCTTAAAAGCCAGAATTCAAGGTCATCTGATAGTACTGACTGGAAAAAGGTTGAAGGCCAACAATAGCAGTAATTATTAACTAAGATATTTAATTATTACAAAATAAACTGACAATATAACCACAGTTAAACTTTCACTTCAAATCTACTCCATCAAGGTAAAACTGGGAGGAATGGGGACCAGGGCTACCTTGGGCATTACTTGGCTCAGAATGACAGCCAGTAACATTTATTTATATAATTAATCACAACCTGTAGTTTTAATTAAATAAACCTTTTTAAAAGCTCCAAATAATAGATGAAATGGCCTGAGCTGAAAAGAAGGTCTGATATCTTAGCTCTTACCTTGATGAGTCATGGTAACAGGCTCATTGCCAGATACATTGTTGTAAATTACCACAGCTGAAGCATTATGTGAAGCTGCTCGCAGAATTTTTTGTTTAAATGTACAATTTCCTCGCTGTAATAGAGCAATCCACTGCTTTGTATTTGGAGGAACTTGAAACCGTGTTCGTGGATCACATCCTAAACGATCTGGAACTAAAAATATAGAATCCTGGTTTTAATTTAATTATACAATTTAAACAAAAGTCCTATAAATATACATTGATCAAGATATTTTCTAATTAACAAACCACATCAATTAGCATAATTTACAAAAGTCAAGGAGAACGGGAGCCTGCCTTACCTCTGGGGGAGAATGTTCGAAAGGGTAGAGGCAGCAGCAGAGAAGGCTCTCTTGCTGGACCCCATCAGTTAAAATTCTTTAACTGGCAGTGGCAACAACATACCCTCCTCCCTGCCTGACCGGATGGGTCAGGCTGATGTAAAAATGGTTCCACATGTAACCTGGGCCCATACCATCTAGAGCTTTAAGGTCATAATCAATACCTTGAATTCGATCTGGCAACAAACTGGCATCCAATGCAGGCCTTAAAGCAGAGGTATTACATACACTATCTCTGGGTGTCCTAGTGGTTGTGTGGTTGCATTCTCATGTGCAACAGTCCAAATGGGAGATGTCCAGGGTGTGAGTGATAAAAAGAAGAGCTCCCTATCCAGGAAAGGGTATAACTGGTGCACAATACAAAGTTGAGCAAAGATCTTTGTATTCATGATTGACACCTGCACTCGGAGCAAGAGCTGTGAGTCTATGGCTTAACTGGGTAAGTCCGTTCCCTGAGCATCTCCACAGGGCTTGCGTCAAGCTTGGCATCCAACTGGGAATGGATCTGGGCGATTTATCTTCCAGATGCAAAGAAAATTCCTTCCTTGAATACAAACGCATCCAGAGACAGTTGGAAAAATCTTCCAAAACAACCACAGAAGCTTGGGAAAGGGCCACGATTGCTTTAATGATTAAAAAGAGGTTCTTTCTACAATAGTATTGGATTGGATGAAAGTTCATGAGAAAATCATGGCTAAATTGAAAAATTGGGGAAAAAAATACCAGAAGGCAATGACATGAAAGTCAACTTTCTGCATAGATATCTCTGTGTAATCCACAGGAAAGCAAATTTAACCTGAAAGCAGATATACAGTACATACATCATAGTATTTTAACTAGTTCATAAAAATGGCAGAATTATTGCAATCTTCTACAACCTTCCAACTTCAGCTGAACCTTTATGTAAAACATTCCATATCATTAAATCTCTGATCTTGAGTTTGATTTGAATACTAATGAAAGATTGCATTAGCTCTTATTGAATGCAACACTGTTGTTTTTCATGTTAAGACCAATTTTCCAAGTTTAAGATTTTCCTAATTAATGGGTTTCATTGAATGTATTATTATAAGGGTTCTTGTTTGTGTTCTTTATTGTGACACCGTTTTAATATCATATTTATAGTGCAATGTTTCGGCCACTTGCTTATTATTATATTAAATCAGCAACAGAGTTTGTTGGTCTACAATTTAAAGAAACACAAGCTAATATTTTCTTGAAAATATATTTTGTATTCTGAAGTTAGTAATAAAGGAAATGGAAAAGCGAAAAAGAAGGAAAAATGCACTTATCATAATGATTTCAAGGTTGTAAACTAGTTTATTAAATTCAAAAAGACAAGATGAAGGACAGATTGAATGCCAAAAAACTAATGCAACATCAAACCCGCAGCATCTGATATTATACCGTGGTATACTCTTGGGATATAAACTGCATGATTTTATTCATTTATACTATTTGAACTTCTGTTATTTGTGGCCTTAACTGATAAACTATCTTTAGGTTTTCTAGTCTGCAATAATCCTTTTCCTCTACCATCTTACATTTGAAATCCTCAATACTGGAGTTAGCATTCATCTATTCACTGAATAAAAGGAAATCAGAAAGAAAAAGTTAATAGTGACAAAAGAAATCATAATATTCCATTATGTGAGGGCTTGGAGGAGAGTGAGCATTGCAATGGTCCAGTTCTGTTTTATTGTTAGGTTGGATTTTTTATCCCCCGATTTGAAGTTTGCTACTTTTGATTGCATGAAATCTATTAATGACTTTCACTGCAATGACACAAACAGAGGGAGCACCAGAGTTTGGGAATAGATATCATCATGGAGAGGCAAATGATCTGTGCCTAATATCTCTTATCTTCTACCAGCAGAACTTTAGCCTAATATACATTTTATGAATCTTGGGACTACCAGGTCAGGTTTCATGCTAGAATAAAAGTCAGGATAATTACCATGTCATCTTCTTCTACTCATCTTTTTATTAGACATGCAACAAACATTAAGAAAAACAAAGCATAAATTGAGGTATGTTACTTAACTCTTAAATACTTAAAAATTACCCCAACATCAAATTACAGGTATTCTTTGACTTACGACCACAATTGAGCCCATCATTTTTGTTGCTAAACAAGGCAGTTGTTAAGCAAGTTTTGCCCCATTTTATAATCTGTTTTGCCACAATTGTTAAGTGATTCATGTGGTTGTTAAGTGATTCTGGTTTCCCCCATTGACTTTGCTTGTAAAAAGCCAGCTGGGAAAGATACAAATGGTGATTGCACGACTATGGGACAGTGCAGCTGTCACAAATACAGGCCAGTTGCTAAGCACCTAAATTTTGATCATGTGACCATGGGTATGTTGCAACAGTTGTTAAGTGCCTTGGTGGCGCAGCAGACTAAAGTGCTGTTAAGTAGCACCAGCTGCCTGCATTTACTGCAAGTTCGAATCTCACCAGGCTCAAGGTTGACTCAGCCTTCCATCCTTTCGAGGTAGGTAAAATGAGGATCCGGATTGTGGGGGCAATAAGCTGACTTTGTATTAAAAAAAACACTGCTTTTGGGGGGGGGGGGCAAAGCCCTACTAAGCAGGTATATACAAAAGTATGAAGGCTATTGCTTAACGCATTGTAAGCCACCCTGAGTCTCGGGAGAAGGGCGGCATATAAATCAAACCAATAAATAAATAAATAAATAAATAAATAAATAAATAAATAAATAAATAAATAAACAAACAAACAAACAAACAAACAAACAAACTTGTACAATCCCATAACAATTATTTAAGCAATCACTAGGGTATCCAAAGCATATTTCAATAGTTACTGGAAATAAGGAATACTACTATACACCTAAAGTGCCTGATTTATCAATCAGCATTTTAAGGGACATAGACAACTATGTCAGCAAATTTAATTATCAATAGTTTTCCATTACCATCTGTCATCTACGATCAGTTATTCAGAATCCATTTGTAACATATATTTTTCCCAAGCTAGAGATTCTGGATATCCAAGTTGGAAAGTCTCCATGGTATAATGAAAAGCAATTTAAGAGTAATTTCAAACTTCTACAAATCACCTATTTAAAAAGATATAATCTGATGTCATTTATATCATTTTACAGAAAAGCTCAATATATACTTTTTTTTTGTTTTCCCATCAGATGCTGATTCTGTCACTTGGCCTATTTACTTCCTAAGTCTTTCTGCACAGCTATTCCTCTTAAGACCCTTAACTTTTGGAAAGATCACTCTTCTACTATCTTTCTACATGTAATCCTTGATTTATGATAGCCGTTTTAACAATCATCCAAAGTTATGATGGACTGTGCTTTATTGCCCATAAAGTCCTTCCAGCTGTCATAAAATGTTGCATCATCCATCCCCCCCCCCGCAGTTACATGATTGCAATATGGGTGCTTGGCAACCAGTTCTCACAACCAGTTACAAAGTGCCCCATAATTGTACAATCTCTGCTAGCTTCCTCAGAAAGTCAGTGGGGAAGCCGGGAGGAAAGGTTGGTGCTGCCTATCAAGAGGATTCCCTCTTATCTCTGGGGACTAATTGAAAGACCTGCCTGCTGAGTGGAGCTGAACAATTTTGGCACTGTGCAGAAACAGAGCACAGATTCTGAAGATCTGAGCTCTATTCCCACAGTCCACCTGAGCGGTAAATGCTGGAGAGTCGTAAGTGAAGGACTGGTCATAAGTCACTTTTTTTCAGTGCTATCGTAAATTGGAATGGTCACCAAACGACTGGACGCAATTTGGGCTACCTGTGATATATCTTTCCTTGAAGCTGTACCTACTATCTCTTGCAGTGACAAAGACATTTCATGAAAACAAATATCAGAATTTTTTTTTAAATGAACTTTCCAGTGATACGTATGGCTATGAAAGTTGGGAAAAAGCAAGAGAAATGTGATACTTTATTAAGAACTTTTTAAATTATGGATTTAGAGCTGATTATTAAGAGTGTTATGCCAGACATGCAGACAATGTATTGTAATAGGAAACAGCAAGGGACTATATGTCCCTTTAGAAAGGGAAAGCATAGTCAGACAACAGGACTCCTGGAGTAGAGTTTGCAATCAAAACTGCTTTGCTGAAGAGGATCTCTATTCCATTCACTTGAATGTATTATGAACTTTCTGCTTTCCTCTCAGCAAATCCACCTCATCAACATTGTCACTGTCTATAAACCAACTCTCATGAGAGCAAACAAGAATAAGGAATGTTTCTATGAACCATGAATCCGGACCAGATTATTCAAACTCAATGGCTATGACAATTCTGCAACTGTCATCATTCTCAGTGACTTCAATACCAGGGTACAAACAAACAGCCACAACTGGGATAGAGTCCTTGGGCGGCATGGGGTGGGGAAACTAAACAGTAATAGTCTGCTGTTTCTAAGCACGTATGCTGAGCACAACCTGTGCATCATTAACACAATATTCAGATTTGCAAACAAATACACACTTAGCTGGATGTATCTGAGTTCAACCCACTGGCACTTATATCATAATACATCAACATATTAAAGACACCTCACTTCAGTCATGCTAAGCACTGAGTGCAGGACAGATCAGAGGCTGGTCCAGTGAGTCCTCAACCTGCACACAACCTTTATGCTATATGCAATCAAGGATTGTAAGAACACCATTCAACACTGGCAGACAGCAAGGATAAGTCCAATGTTTTCAAGATATACTTAATGAAAGACCCTCCAGCAATTTACCTTTTGAAGGAACCTGTTCTGAAAAGTGGATGTAGTTTAAGGATGTCATCACACAGACTGCAACAACTGTT